GGGATGGGGCTGGATGAGGGTGAGAACAGGACGCCGAGGAATGGGTCGGGCAGCGGGGAACTGAGGAGGAGCACGCAGAAATGCAGTGTGCGATCACTGGGGACGTGAGTTAGCATAATGGGGCGCGAGTGAACCCGTGGGAGGGGGGTACGCCTGGGAGTGGGGTGGGGGGGCGGCAGAAAGGCTGACCCCAAGCTGCCGACCTGTCACCCCACGCAAGCCCTTGGGGTTCGTGGACCAGTCACTAGAGAGTACTCGCCCCTCGAAGCGGGCTCCCTCCTCCCAACTCCAGTGCAGAAGCTGCCCTCCCATCCGCCAGCCAGTTTGCACCGGCCTTCTATGAAGAATTTGTACAAGTCAAGTGTTTGCTGAGCGAAACAGACTCACGTGGTGGGGGCGGGCACTGAGCAGAGTCGTATCTTTTGCAAACATCTTTATTAATCTTGTAGAAAAATAAGGTCCTCGGAGAGTCTCTGGATCTGGGAGGGAGGGGCGCAGAGGGGGCTGGGGAGAATGACCCAAGGTTGCATTTTATAAGTTACTGGCCAGGCTTCCGCTGAGGCTAAGTATGGATACACCATACTTAGAGAAGTGCTGCAAGCCCCTTTTGTGGGGAGGGGCCAGTGATGCTGCCCCCCAGTGGCAAAATGGAGGTGTGGCTGCCAGGTGAGGAGCACCCTAGCAGTGGAGAGAGAGGGGCCTGCCCTGCACAGGCATCATCTTGAGGCTTCTCTTCCTCTCCCCACCCCACAGAGTCCACCCTAGGCAGCAGCTGCTACAGCGAGAGGTCAGAGGTGACCTGTAGGGGAGGTCCTGGGGTGCGCCTTCGGGCACTTCTTCGACCTGTATCTGATCGGATATAGGGCTGGTTCCGCAGATCTGGCAGAAAAGAGCAAACACATTTACCCTTCAGGAGCCTGCCAGGGCTGAGACCACCACTCCAGGGTACAAGGTCACCATCCTCGGGACCCACGGTGTATGCATGTGGGAAGGGTCTACTTAGGTTTACCCACAACCCCCTCAAGCACAACCCATTCATGCATGGACCAGAGGGGTGCAGCCTGCCCCTCCTCCAGGGCTGTGGGCAGCCACTGGGACAGAGGCCGGGCCATCTGGGTACCTGGGGGGCTACAGGGGGATCTCTTCTCCCAGGCTGGCCTCACAGAGGAGCCTGGACGTCCTCTTGCCGGTGCGGGCAGTGAAGGGTACTGTCTTGAGCACTGGGGGTGTGGAGCAGGAGGAGGAGGTAG